GGACAAAGGTGTGTGAGTCTTGGAAACCAGATACGGAAGCCAGAAAGGATGCTGATCTGTGACCACGTTAAGGTGCTCACTATAAAAACTCACTAGAAAAAGGAATGAAGTACTGACACCTGCCGCAACATGGATGACCCAAAAAGCCACGTACTGTATGATTCCACTTATATGAATTGTCCAGAATAGACAAATCCATAGAGACAGAAAGACTGGGAGCTGTCAGGGGCTGTGGGGAGGGAGGCATAGGAATGCGTAACGGGTGAGGCAATCTCATCCTCTTCCGAATCGTGCACGAACCCTGACTTCTCTTCTGAGCCTCGGATGTCACTCCACTCATCCATTCGTTTGTTCACTAAATGTTTTCCGCATGCCTACTAAGTGCTAAGTACTCATTAGTCACTGGGGTTACAGTAGAAAAAACCACAGGCCTGGCTGCATAAAGCATATAGACTAGTAGCTGATAAAGAATGGTAAAGAAAGGCTCTTCCACTGGGAGAACCAGGTCGAATGTCTAGCAGTGGTTTGGCCACACGGCTCATGGGATCTTAGTTCCCCAACCAAGGATTCACACTGGGCCCTCAGCAGTGAGAGTGCGGGGTCCTAACCACTGGACTGTCAGGGAATTCCCTTGCAGTGGTTCCTAATATAAGCCCTGTGAATCATAAGCAGGCTGGCTTCCAGGCATCTATAAAATTCATGAAATTACCTGTGAAGTTCTGTTCACTCATACATGCTCAGGAGTGAGGTGATCTATGGCTTTCATTAGATTATCGAAGAGGTCCTTGACTCAAAAAAGTTTAAACTCCACTGGTCTAATGATAGGTTGTTGACGTGACATTAGAGATGATGTCACTTTGGAGAAAAATCGGGGCTTAAGACATAGATTTGAGAGCCTTCTCTGCACAGAGGTGAGAGCGGGGTCAGCGCTTCCCAGAGTCTTTGACTTAAGAGTCTCAGCAGCAGAGGACCGGGACACACAACAGAGGCGGCAGGGGATCTCTGATGGCTTAACTCAAGCTCCAGGAAGTCCAGCCATGTTTCTTCCATGGCTTTGAGTGACACTTTCCCCAAACCCCTCAGCCCCACCATAATGCCACAGACCGCAGGTGCCACAGCTCCCAGCATGAGAACCACGGACTAAGGCTGTCCTTGGGAATGACCGAGATCTTCATGGAGCAAGTGTAGAGCACAGACCAAATTCTGGGGGTCCGGCTGGTCAAATCCACTCTAGAAACATGTTTGGCCCTCATAGTTTTGAAGAAGAGGGATTTATTGCCATTATTTAGAAGTCAGGAGATTTCACAAAATGATCTGAATTTGTGTCTTTTCTTAAAAGTCTGAGGACTTGACAATGCCGGCCTTCTGTGCTCTCGTCACCATCACGGGGGGCTGGCAGCAGCTGGCTCCTTGGGCGGGGCATGTGTTCTTCAGTCCCCACTGCCACCCCTCACACTTGGCTCTCCCCTCTTTAATGGCACCTGTCTACTCTCAATGCCTGAACCTCTGGTGTAGACAAAGAAGAGCAGAGGAAAAACCTTGGGAAATAGCTGTTTACCAAACAGGAAGAAAAAAGTGTTACAAAGGAAGAAAGAGAAAAAGAAGGAAAACAGAAAGGATGTACATTCCCTTAATGCAACATCTCCTATATCGTATGGCCTACTGGGAAGACTCAGTATCTAAAGATTCATCCAGTCTAATGTCATTTGGATGGTGAAAGAGTTCTCTTCATCCTACCCTTTACCAGAATAATCATTACTTTTAAAATACTGAGATCACAAGGAGGAGGGGGAACCATCACATCCTGACATTTAAGAAAGAGTATTGTTGGGACTTCCCTGGAGGCGCAGAGGTTAAGAATCCGCCTGCCAATGCAGGGGACACGGGTTCAAGCCCTGGTCCGGGAAGATCCCACGTGCCGCGGAGCAACTAAGCCCGTGTTCCACAACTACTGAGCCTGTGCTCTACAGCCCATGAGCCACAACTACTGAGCCCACGAGCCACAACTACTGAAGCCCACGTGCCTAGAGCCTGTGCTCCGCAAGAAGAGAAGCCGCCGCAACGAGAAGCCCGCGCACCGCAACGAAGAGTAGCCCCACTCACCACAACTAGAGAAAGCCCATGCGCAGCAGTGAAGACCCAACGCAGCCAAAAATAAATAAACAAAATAAAATGGTTAATTAAAAAAAAAAGAAAGAGTATTGTATCTGCTTAATAACATCAGAAGGGCCATAAAAAGTCCTTCCTACAATTAAATATCTCCATCAACTATTAACAAATTAAGAATTGCATAAGTTATGCTACATTAAAAAGAGATCATCTGATTCTGTTGTGTACATCAGAGATATTAATGACTCATGATCACGACTCCATTTTCTTCAGTCTTTTTAAAACACGTATTAATCCTCTGTTAACGTTACCTAAAGTTCACGCTCAGTTTTCGCCTAGTGCCTCACATACTCGGGGATAGCTCTGTGTTCTGGGCATCCCAAAGCACTGCACTATATCCATTCCTTTTCCTCTGTCACTAACACCACTGTTACACTTTCACTCCCTTACCCATCATGGCTGGAGGTCAGCTTCCCTGTGTGTCAGGGACGAAGCAGTGCTTGGACAAAAATACGAAACTCACTGTCAAGCCATCGCTTCAAGATCTGAAGGCCACGGGGTCTTTAAGCACACCCCATTAATTTTGTGTTAATCGTGGTACAATACACATAACATAAAATGTACTGTCTTAACCATTTTTACACGTACACGTCAGTAGCGTTAAGTACATTTGCAGGACTGTGCAACCAAATTCCAGAACTCTTTTCATCTTGCATAACTGAACCTCTGCACCATTAAATAATAATTCCCCATTCCTCCCTTCTCCCCAGCCCCTGGAAACCACCATTCTACTCCCTGTCTCTGTGAATTTGGCTATTCTAGCCACTTCATATGAGTGGAATCATGTAGTATCTGTCTTTGGTGACTGCCTTATTTCACTTAGTGTAATGTCCCCAAGGCTCATCCATGTTGTAGCATGAGTCAAAATTTCTTTCTTTTTCTTAAGGCTGAATAATATTTCATTGTATGTACATGTCACATTTTGTTTCTCCATTCATCTGTTGATGGACATTTGGGTTACCTCCACCTTCTGGCTATGGTGAATAATGCTGCTATGAATACGGGTGTACAAACAAACATTTCTTTGAGACCCTGCTTTCAACTCTTTGGGGTATATACCCATAGGCAGAATCGCTGGACCATATGGTAATTCTATTTTTAATTTTTTAGGAACTGTCATACTGTTTTCCATAGCAGCTGTACCACTTTATATTCCCACCAGCAATGCTCAAGGATTCCAATTTCTCCACATTCTTGCCAACACCTGTTATTTTGCTTGTTTTTATACAGTAGCCATCCTCATGGGTGTAATCTCAACCATTACATTTTAAATATCTCTGAAGGTTATGCTTTGGTTCTCAGATAACACCTTGGTGATGAGTCTACATTATTACTTGCAGAAATCTGAGAGCACAGCCCTGCAGCAGTACACGAAGATACTGAACATCTAGGCCGGGCTGGGAACTGAGCCACGAGACATCTCCAGCTGAGCAAGTTATTAGCCCAAGATTACCTTCTTTGTTGCATAAATTTGCCCGTGAGTGGCTCTACCCTAATGCAATCTGTCAGCTTTCAATTTGTGCCAGAAAATAAGAGAATATGCAACGGGGGGGGGGGGGGACTACCCCCTTTATACCAACAAACACTGTCCTAAAACGAGGGCAAAGTAAGACGGCCCCTTCCACCTCTTCTAACGCGGAACCACGAAGATACTAAGCCAGTTTTGATCCTCACGTAGGACTCACAGAAAGTATTGAACTGTAACTGGGGTATCATCTTCGCTGAAAATCAAAGCGTTTGTTGTCGGCTGAACAATATTCCCTATCCCCCCCCGCCAAAACCCACATCCTAACCTCTGGAAACGGCAAATGTTACCTTATCTGGAAAAAAGGACTTCACAGATATGATTAAGTAAAGGATCTTGAGAAGAGGGAGACTATCGTGGGTTATTCATGGGGACCCCAAATGCCATCACAAAGGCCCTTATGTGAGGGGAGGCAGGAACGTCGAGGAAAGAAGGCAGCCACATGATGAAGGAAGCAGGGGGAGAAAGGGAGGGGATGTAGCCGTGAGCGGAGGAATGAGAACAGCCTCCCGAAGCTGGAACAGGCAAGGAAATGGATTCTCCCCTCCAGCCTCCAGAAGGACCCAGCCCTGTAGACACCCCGCGTTTAGCTCTCTAAGGCTCACTTCAGATCACTGCAGTACCTTTAGAAAGTAAGAGAGTAAATTTCTGTGCTCTAAGTCCCTGAATTGGTGGTCATTTGTCACAGAGGCCACAGGAAACGAATACGACATCAAAATCCACCTACTTCATTCCCCATCCTTTATATTTGAGCTTCCCAACTGGTACAACACGAGGGATCTATCTCCTTGCCTCCAGGGGATGCTGGGTGGGGTCTGGGGCAAAAATCGTACAGAGCTGCCCAAAGGCCCTGGGTTACCCCAGCTACCATAGAAATACTGTCCTTTTCTACGTGCTCCTGCGTCACGGCGATCGTGAAGCATCCAAGTATGAAAAAGTCCCAGGAATTCATACCTTTCAAACTTCAACACTTAAAAGCACCTGAACACAGTTCAACAGATACGAGGAAGAATAAAAAAAAAGTGTGAGCCGTCCTATCAATTTCCATCCTTCAGGACTGCTGTTTGATAAGCTGCACTGGAGAATTTTTAGCGAAAGAAGCAAAATGCAGCGTCCTCTCTCAGCAAGAAAACTTCAGTGGAAAGACACCCCAAATTCCTAAAGCAGCTATTTCCTCACTGCAGCTCCATCCTCAAGTGGTCCCTTCCAGCCTCCCTCCCTCCCCCCTCTCCCTGGGTGGGTGGGGTCCTCTCTCCCCTGGGATCTGGGGACAAAAAAGCCACTGGAGCGCGTGCTTGGCACAGACCTGATGGGAAGGGAAGGGTCTCCGGCGTCCCACCAGTCTTTCGGGGGGCTGATGTACATGCACCACAGCTCCCAGCTGTACCCGTGGGCCGAGTTCTCATACCGCTGCACCTCGAAGGTGTCCTGTTTGATGTTGTCGATGGACGGGAGGATCACCCGCTTCCGGTTCTCCTGTATCCGCGAGAGAACTGGCTCAGCCCTGAAACACAGAGAAGCAGAAATAAAATCTTTCACCTGAGGCTCACCCACACCTCCACCGGCCCAGACCCCAAGACCACAGACAATGAATAGAAGTGTCGTAGCTAAAGGCTGGGCAGGCTGGAACTCAGAGGGAAACTGGGCTCCCAAGTGGCAGCTCCAGCTGGATCAGGGGGCTTTTTTTTTTTTTTTTTTTTTTTTTGGTGGTATGTGGGCCTCTCACCGTTGTGGCCTCTCCCGTTGCGGAGCACAGGCTCTGGACACACAGGCTCAGCGGCCACGCCGCTCCGCGGCATGTGGGATCCTCCCGGACCGGGGCACGAACCCGTGTCCCCTGCATCAGCAGGCGGACTCTCAACCACTGCGCCACCAGGGAAGCCCTGGATCAGGTGGCTTTAAAGGAGCCCTGTGCCGTGCAGCTCATGCCCTCACCCCTGCGGGGTTCCCAGAGTGCTGCCTGCGTTGGCATGAGAGGCCTGAAGCAGGGACTCAGAACACGAGGGCTTCTGCCCCAGAAAGTATGGTCTGTCTTTTATACCAACAGTGTCTAAGCCAAAGCTTAGGCAGATACGAGGAAGAATAAAAAAGTGTGAGCCGTCCTATCAAGGCCCTCCTGATAAGGTTTGCATCTCCCCACAGTTTCGTACAGTGTTTTCAGTTTCCCCTCAGGCACTGGCCAATGCCTCTGGTTTTTTTTTTTCTGCTGGAGCTGAACTGCCTTTTCCCCAAATAGGTCACTTCTGCCCTTGATGGCCTGGTTTCAATAAGCCTTTCACTAGCTTCTTTGTGCGTGTGCCTATTTCAGTTGTTTTAACTGATTATTTAATTGATTTCTTAAAAGGGATCTAATTGGATGGGTTAGGGATGGCAGGCAGGAACTAACTGAATGCAAGGGCAGGCAGGATCCTGCCTCTCAGCTAGCCCGCCCGCTCAGGGCTACAGCAGGCGACAGGCAGGGACCTGGCTCCGGGTTTAAGGTATAGCCCTGCCAGCTTAGGAGAAAGCAGATGGTCAGGCACCCCTGCCAGAGTGCGTCTCTGACGTAGATGTAGGAAGGGATCATTTCCCATATTCGAGAACGAAAAGATGGCTCTCATAAACCAGGGCATTAATCTCCCTGCTTAGAACAGGGCGCAGGCTTTGGAAAGGAATCAAATGAAAATCCCATTCCTCTGCATTATTTCGAAGAATAATGAGAACGCTCGGCCTCCATTCCATCTCTTTTCATTTGCATCTACTGAATTACCTGTTGGCACATCTCGTGTTTCTATTTTAAATGAGCAATAAAATATACCCGGGGCCATTTACTGCCTCTGATACTTTTGCACACACTTTAGAGACTGATAACCCAATGGGACTGAATTTCCCTGGTTTCTAGGCGTGCTTCAGAGCTCCGCCCCCTCCAAGTCCTCACTCTTGTTGTTCTCCTCCAGGAATGCCCTTGTGCCCAGGCAGGAAATCTAGCCACCCACACAAACTTCTCTAATCAAGTGCCACCTCTTCCAGGAAGCCTGCCTTTATTTCCCCCAGTAGAAGACTCTCTCCATCCTCTCAACTCTTAGAGCATCTTCTCCATCATATTCATGTCACCCTGATAACACGCTGTCTTTGCTGATCTTTGAACGCACGTTTTTCTCCCTTATAAGCTCGTGATAGCAGATGTTTCTCAAGCACTTACTACTTGCCAGGCACCCTTCCCAACCTTCCGTATAAGCTGACTAATATAAATCTCGCAACAATCATATGAGGCAAATACTACACTCACCATTTTACACATGAGGAAACTGAGGCCCACGGAGGTTATGCCCCAGCCCACACAGCCAGCTGGAAGTAGAACCAGGTTTCTAACCCGGATGGTCTGGCTTCAGGCCCAACCCCTAAGCTCCGCAGCCTCCTGGGATGGGCCACCCTTCCCCTAGGCTGGTCTGGTGCCCTGCAGGTAGAAGCATTCAGCTCGGCCGTCACTGTGTGGGGGAAGTTACTGAGTGTCGGGCAGAAGACCTTGGTTCAAATCATGCTTCTGAAGCTGAGGAGTTCAGTCTCCCAGTCTGTGACAGAGCGTACAACTGTTCCCAGCGATTTGCTCCCCTGCCTCGGGACATCCCGCCGATGACCCCGAGGCCTGCGGTGTTTCCCTGCTGAGGGGCACGCTCTCCCTCAACCCCAATTAATGTTTAGCTTGGACATGTGACCTACTTTGGCCAACAGAAGGTGTGACCATGTCACATCTGAGCAGAAACTGTTAGCCTTTTCCCTGAGCTACAAAAATGGTACATCCTAGGCAGGGGTTCTCCTTGGGTCCTGGGACGCAGAGGCCGTATGGAGCAGAGCCACAGACAGACAACCCGCAGCGGATCTGCCACGTGGACAGGACGGAGATCGCTACTGCAGTGTGACCTAGTGAGAGTTGAGGCACACTGTCTATCTGCCATGAGGACACACACCCCTCTGTTGGAGGTCTGGAAAATGAGTCGGAAGGGCTAAAACTGGATCACAGACATCAGTCAAAATTAGACTATAGGCTCCTGGAGGGCGGATACCAAATCTCACCAGATTCTGAACCCCAGCTGAGTGACCAACTGTCCTCTTTGCCCAAGACCGTTCTGATTTTACTGCTGAAAGTCTTGCATTTTGGGAAATCCCTCAGCGCTGGGCAAACCCGATCAGGCAGTCACCTAAATCACAGCCTAGAGCGGTCTTTGGGACATGGTCTCATCATCCAGCAAATATCTGTCAGTTAGTTTAAGTGAAAGATATTGAAGGTCTGAGCCGGGGACGCGGAGGTCAAAACGGAGAGGAAAAGGTAGACGTGAGAAACAGAGGAAAAACCAGCTAAAGCCGGAGGTGGCTTGGATGAGTAACACGATGGGGAGAGAAGAATCAAGTGATGGGGACATGGGTGGTACCACCCGTTTTGACAGGAAAGAAATGAGGAGGGAATGATATGGAGGAAAAGGTGAGACAGGGCAAGGCTGAGGCTCCAACGGAACATTCAAGGGCTTCTGTTCAGAAGGCTTCTAGCTCAAGGGTTCCCAAACTTGAGTGAGCAGCAGAGTCCCCTGGTGAGGGGGTTGCTGGTTAAAGCAGCTTACTGGGCCCCATCCCCAGAGCTTCTAATGTCATAGGTCTGGGTGGAGCCCAAGAATCTGCATTTCTAACAAGTTCCCAGGTGATGCTGATGCTGCTGGTCTGGGGACCACACTTTGAGAATGATTATGAGAGATAAACAGTGGTGAGGCTCAGAGGAGGTCAGGGCTGCACACCTACAGCTGTGTGTATCAGGGTCTGATGGTGGCAGAAAAAGCAAGGAAGAAAACTGGGGTCTGAGATGGCAACAGACGCCCGTGTGCAAGTGAAAGGACCAGTGTTAACGGTGACCCCACGTTCCAACCCTTTGTGTGGTCATGTGCGTGACCATCCTTTTCTCTGGCCATTAAAAGGATTCTACAGTTTGTTTCAAATGAAGAATAGACATTTTAAGGCGTAATTAGTGATGGGATATTGGCTCTTCAAATATGGTACCGTGAACTTATTCAAGATGGTATCATTGAGTGTAAATAAACATTATTAATGAAATCAAAGACTCTGCTTCTTACTAATTAAGCAATCCTGGCATAGGGGTTTAACCTCTGACTTGATTTATCATTGGTTAGTTAGAAATAATCATATAACTGTAAAGCTCTAACCTAATTTTAACATGCTTATTGACTGATTTGGGCTTTTTTTTTTTTTTTTTCGGTACGCGGGCCTCTCACCGTTGTGGCCTCTCCCGTTGCGGAGCACAGGCTCCGGACGCGCAGGCTCAGCGGCCATGGCTCACGGGCCCAGCCGCTCCGCGGCATGTGGGATCTTCCCGGACTGGGGCACGAACCCATGTCCCCTGCACCAGCAGGCAGACTCTCAACCACTGCGCCACCAGGGAAGCCCTGATTTGGGCATTTTTGACGCTTCACTCTCGTACATCCAAAATCTACTCCCTGTATACCCATCGATTTCTCTCATATTCTTTTCACCTGGAGAAACATATGAGGGGCCACATCGGCAGAGAGAAACCCTTCCCTTCCTCCAAATGCTGTTAAAGATGATCCCAGAATTTATTATTATTATTGTTTTTTGGCCACACGACATGCGGGATCTTAGTTCCCCAACCAGGGATCATGCCCTCACCCCTTGCATTGGAAGCGCGGCGTCTTAACCACTGGACTGCCGGGGAAGTCACGATCCCATAAATTCTAGGAAGCTTTGCCTGAGTAGGTAAAATTATAACCGAATCTCTTTTTTTCAACAGTCAACCATCCTCCCCAGAAATGGAAACGAGCAAAGTAGCAAAAGATTCTCCATTCTTGCCAGCGCCCCACCTCCCAGACTCCAGCCCTGCTGACCATGCTGCAAATCCCGAGCACTTCTAGGCTTCAGCTTGTGACCTACCAGCCAGCGGTGAACTCCACGTGGGCATCAAAGAAGCCGGTGACCTGGCCGGTGGCCACCTTCCAACCCTCGATGCGAGCTCGGATCAGGCCCTCTCTTTTTCGATTTCTCACCACCTTCACCAGCCCAGGGTAGCGTTTGTGGACATACTCCTCCAAAGGGGCCTTCAGCTCCTCTACAAATGACAAAACACAGGAAGGTCCGTAAACGTGTCAAATGTGCATCCAACCCACTGTGAGGCCGACAGATCTTCAGTTAGTCCAGAGAGTGCAGAAAATTTTGCATGTTAGTCATTTTAGTAGAAAAGTCAACTTGGTCCCAGTGATTCAGGAGACATCTCTGACTGATGTCCTTTGGGATTTCTTTCTGACCCTCCCTCCTTCCTTGGCCAGCATTCCTGTGCCCCCACTGTCCCCTGGGTCTTGTTTATCAACTTTATATGGGTTTTTCCATCTGCACACACGCTGGTTCTCACAGAATGTGTTCTGGGAGGTCCAGACCCAGAGTCACACCCTAGATGCAACATTAACAGGCTTTGTGCTTTGGTCACAGGATGTGAAAGAAATCCTTGCTCAGCAGTAGAAACGCTACCGTGATGGCGAAAGGAAGGCCATCAGGGCTTGAACACTCCCTCCTGCCACCAGCAGGTGGTACAAAGTGCGTGATCTTTATGATCTAATTTAATCCTTACAGCCACCCTAGGTGGTTGCTAGATTAATCCCGTTAAGTAACTAGATGAATTCCACACTGCAAATTAAGAACAGTCTTAGGGAGACTAACCTGTCCCAAGGTCACAACCTAGGAACAGAAGAGCTGAAACATGGGTCACATGTGTCTAATTCCACAGACGTAAAGGGATACCTTTGTGTACTTGAGAATCACTGTCTCATCACAAGGAAGAAAACATTACTTTTAATTTTTTTATATCTATATGAGATGAGGATATTAACTAAACCGATTATGGTAATCACTTCACAGTATATGTCAGTCAATCATTATGCTGCACTCCCTAAACTTAGGCAGTGCTGTATGTCAATTATATCTCAGTAAAAATGGGGGAAAATCAGCAGGTGTCAAAGGATGGACAGGGAAAGGCTGACAGAGAGGGGATTCTGAGATATTCACACTCCAAGGATGTGCCCTTGGAGAGCCTCAGGGGTCCAGAAGCAGCCCAGCTGACTCAGATGTGAGTGGTCCACAGACGATACTTTTGGAGACATCGTCACCTCTGACCTTGCTCTAGAAAAACCCACAAGGCTGTATTTACAGACATTGTGCAGACCCCTCACTTCCTAGTTATACACAGCAATGTTGACAAATTAAAGCCATAGATTTGCAGCACATGTAGAGGCTGCCCTCTCTAGGACATGGCTGTTGTCCCTGGGAATGATGCAGCCCTGTGACCCAGGAACAAGTACAGAAAATGGGGGGTTTAGATGGATGGGAGTGAAAGAGTCCCCAGGGGTACAGAGACGTGATGTAGTTCCTGTCAGCCAAAGGCATGGATGGTGGGGGAACAGGAGTGCTATGGGCTGAATTGTGTAACCCCCCCCAAATTCATCTGTTAAAGCCCTAATACCCAGTAACTCAGAATGTGACCATATTTGGATATAGGGCCTTTAAAGAGATGATTAAGTTAAAATGAGGTCCTTAGGGTAGGTCTTAATCCAATCTGAGCACTGTCCTTAAGAAGAAGAGATCTGAACACACGCACAGCCCCCAGGGGCACGCACACAGACAAGGACCATACAAGGACACAGGGAGATGGTGGCCGACTGCAAACCAAGAACAGAGGCCTCAGGAAAAACCAACCCTGCCAACACCTCGATCTTGGACTTCCAGCCTCCAGAAAAGTGAGAAAATAAATTTTGTTGTTTAAGTCACCCAGTCTGTGGTACTTTGCTATAGCAGCCCTAGCAAACTAATACAGGGAGGAATTAGTTTGGAAAGGAGAAAAAACTAGAGCCTGGGTGGAGAAGGGGCAGAAACTCTAAGGAGGCACAAGGTGCTTGGGTGTTCAGACTGGACTCAGACTGCCTTGGGTTCAAAACTCTGTGCTACCTGAGTGACCCTGAGCAATTTAGCCAATGTGTGCCTCAGTTCCCTCATCTACCGAAGGGGGATGATAATACAGTCATCCCTCAGTATTTGCAGGTTCCGGGACCCCCAGGGATACCGAATCCACAGATGCTCAAGTCCCTTACAGTTGATCGTCTGTACCTGCAGGCTTCACATCCAGGGATACTGAGGGCTGACAGCAATCGTATGGACACCACAGGGTTGTGGTGAGGATTACAGATGTTAATAAGTTCAAGAATGCTCAGAATTATCCCTAACACAGTGTAAATGCTCAACACGGAGTAGCTGATATTAGTAATTAACTTCCCTCTTTCCCTCAATATAAGTTTAGGGCAAAGCAGCCCAGGGAGCCTGAGGAAGCCATGTCCAAGATGGAAAAACAGGCCTGTAAACCAGAACTCTGGTTCTCAAACTGGAGGCCACCAACAGCGTCAACTGGAGGGGCTGAAATGGATTGCTGGGTCCCTCGCCCACAGAGTTCATTTTCAGAAGGTCTAGGCTGGGGCACCCATGCTCTGGGTATGGGGAACCACACTTTGAGAACCACTGAGTTTGAATGTTTGGCAGGTAGCATTACACCCTCAGTAAGTTATCTATTGTTTGTCTTTTTGCCGGGTTTGCTATCATCTTTGCCATCATCCCAGAGCCAGTGAGGGGCCTGGTGCAGAAGCCAGGCTGTGGGGACCGCTGAATTCTTCACTCAGCCAGGTACATGGGACTGGGGTGACCGAAAGAATTTTCAGCTTTTAGAGACCATCTCCTGACTGAATGTTGGCTGCATTTTCCCGTCTGTTCATTAAGTTTCTTGGAACAAAAATGCTAGCAAGAAGGCTGGACGGGCCATGCTTGCTTGGTTTTTCATTTACTCCCCTCGAGTGCTGGGTGGGTGGGCAGGGGATGAGGGACACACCATGGAAGGCAATGGACTGGGCAATGGACCCACAGAATAATACGGTGGGAATCCTGCTATCCTGCTCACCCTCTAGGGTTGGCCTGGGATGGCAGGAATCTCAAGAATCTCTGTAAGTTCAGGGAGAACATTCTGGGTGCTGAGTGCCAGGTGCCACGACAGGGACCTGCAGGCATGGTTGACCTTCAGCTGCCAGGCGACCTGGGACCCTGAGGTGCTCTGCCCTGTAACTGGATGTCAGCTCCCAGCCATGCCGGTCACCATGTCTAAGTATCAAGTGCTCTCCACATTTGTTCAGCGGTTGTGACTGAGCCTTTAGAGGAGAGAGATAAACAGGCATTTACAAGTTTGGCAAAAAAGAGTGAGGTTTGCTACCACTGCCCTTCAACATCTCCAGGCCAGTGGGATATGAATATTAAAGTGCTTTGAAAAGTTTAAAGGGATAAAAGGATAATGCCTCATCATTTGGTACTAGCCTATGGTTGCTATGAATAAATAAGATTTATATATAAAGCCCTTGACATGCATTCAAAATCTTATTTCTAATACTAATTGGTCTATTAATATTATTCACATGGATCCATTTTATAATACCCCATGAACAAGAGCACATCCTTCTAGCTAGTCAATATCATTTTAAACTCCAGGCACCATCATTTTATAGCCGTAGTCACCAGCCTCCATCTTTCAAGATTCAGTGACACATTGTTCCAGACACAATTGAAGTGACGCCCTGGGGTCTTTCATGGGAACACGAAGGGAGATGTCAGCATCCGACTAGCAGGGCTGGAGGACAAGAGATACTGAGAAGGCTTCATTTCCCAATCCCTGTATGTGATTCTGGACCCAATAATGTATTGAGTTGTGCTCCGGCTTGGATTTAAAATCAATTCGGACACAAGCACTCCCTTGAGATGCTTACAATCTGGGCAAGGAGATGAGACATGTTCAAAAAATTCCAATATTGAGGAGCTAAGGGCCAAAGAAAAATGGTCGTAGAGGGAAAGTGTGATGGAGGGTCGGGAGGAGGGTCACAAAGGGAGAAATGATTTTGGCTGGGGGTGTCCAAGGAGAAGGTCGTATCTGAGTCAATCAGCAGGTTTGGACGTGTGCCCTCACTACTCCAGAATACACAAGCACAGAGCAAAACACAGGCGTGGAACTGGATCTGCTGAGGCGACAGAGTCACTAGTGTCTGGGAGACCGGGAAAATGCCATTAATCAGAAAAGAGGAAAAGAAGAGAAGCAGGAGTTGGTGGGTTCACCTGGGGACAGGTTGAGCGGCTAGCAGACCTTTGGGGGCTGAGTGCTGAACCAGGATAATGGTCCAGAGTGAGAAGACAGGGCACAGAGTGTCAGGGACACGGTGGGGAGAGACGAGGGCACAGGAGGGAGTGAGAGTTCCAGAAGAAGACTTAGAACCCCACTTTGGGAAATGTGTGCATTCAGGAGGCAGGAAGCAGAGCTAGAGGACAAGATGGGCTAGAAACAGCATCACAGGGGCAGAATCCTATCAAGCGTAGAGTTTCCAGAAGAAGAATCTGTGCATTCATTTCATAAATATTTATAGAGCGCCTACGTGGTTGAAAATGACACAATCCCTGTTCTCAAAGAGTTATTCAACATCCAATGTCAGGGAAATCAAATGAGTTAGAGAAAATGAGAGCTGAGAACAGGCCGCTGATCTAGACAAACAGTAGCTTCCTGATGGGAACAGTGAGAAAAAAGAATTCCCTTCTGGACGCAGCTGGGCCCCTCGGGGACAAGGTTAGCTTAGGGAGAAGTGGATGAGTAGGACAGCTCAGGAGAGATTTCCAGAAAGGCTGGTCCTGCTGGAACAGAGTTGCGACAGCCTGAGGGCATTGGGGTGTTGAGATTTCAAAGTTGCTTTAAAGTGAGAAAGCCCACCAGTTAACTGAATAAAAACAAGGCCTCCAGGCTCACCGTGGAAGGAAACAAATTCTCAACCTGACAGCAGTAAGAAATGTCACACCCATCACCTAAGATCCTTTATCATCCTTAACAGATGAAACCATTCCTGGACATTATAATGACAGTTAAGAAAAACATTTTACATACGATTTTTCTCACCGGCAGACTCAGAGAAGAAAATAAAAACTCACTTCTGCAAAAATAAATGTTTACCTACCAATGTTATGAAATCCAATACTAAATTGGTCTAGAGT